TGTGCAAGCTTTTCCCATATATACTCATTTTTGTACGCTTTTTTTTGCTTGAAAAACTGCATTTATTTATTTATTTATTTTATTAGATTTCTATACCGCCCTTCATCATAAGAACTCAGGGCAGTTCACAGAGTAAAATACAGGATAAAAACATGAAAATAAGTAAAAGAAAAGAGCAAAACAACAGACCCCCTTCCCATAGACCCATTTTAAAAGGCTGTAGAATATTAATCAGCCAAAGCATTGCAAAATTTGGAGAAGTACAAATTTCACTGGAGAGCTGCATCTATCATTGGTCTGTTATTTCAGGAAGTGTGAACTTAATTTCTCTCCCATTTCTAGCCTGTTGCCTTAGCTTTAATTAGAGTCTAGGAGAAGTCTGGGACTCTCCACATAATATAAAAGAGTGTCAGTTTCTAGCATTTCCCTCCTGGCTGATCTTTGCTCTGTTAGGCTGGCTTTGCAGACAGAATTAATCACCGATTTGGAATACGGAATCATTATTGCCGTATTTGTATTGGCAGGACTTAAATATTTAAAAACCTTCTGTCGACTTGTGGAAGCTTTGAGGGGTGAAAACATGATGTGAACAGAGGGCTTGGCTGCTAACTTGCATGTTTCTGCATTATTTTTTTAAAAAAATCTCTGTCATCCTTCATTATTTAATGATAAATACACACAAAAACCTCTCTCTCTTAAAAACTGTAGCTCTTCTCTGAAAAAAGACTCTGAAGCTGGGCTCAGCAGCTTTTCCTGTTCTGCATATCAATGACTCTATATCCATTAGATGCTCAGCTACCAAGTAAAAGGAAAGCTTTTCTGACTTTTGCTAGCTTGGCAAGATCACCACAAATCCCGAAAACAAAGCTCATTTCCTTCTGTCTCACACACTACTACTTCTTAAAAACAAAGTTCAGGTTAAAGTTCATCTATATATGCCTTCATAACTTTACTTTAAAGCATACGATGAAATCTGAACATCTGTCTCATACATTTCAAGGGACCTGATTGACACAGACGGCTAGAGACTTATTTTCTTTCAGACCAGAGTGAGTGTGGAGGTGGTGGAAGTGACAGAGCTCTCCCTTATGGGCTTGTAGCCTCACTCAACCTGCCAGTATGGCTTTTTCAGCGAGATGGTGTGCCTTGGCATGTTCACTAAATCAGGATCTGGGGAGGCAACATAGCACGTTGCTGAGGCTGCCCCAAATACAGGAACTGCGCACCCACCGCAACTCTACCGTACCAGGAGCCTTCTCATTCCCAAAGTTTTGCTTCTAGGCCTCTAGTAACTACTTTGCCGAAATACAAGAGCCCCTGATTTTACTCAAAGTTCTTTGACAACCCCTGTCTGAAGCTGCTTCCAGTTAGCATAGCACAGAACCCTGAGTTAGAATGTAGATGGACCATTGGTCTGACTAAACATATGGTAGCTGCCTGCATTCCTAACCCAATTTCAACCTCAGCAAGTTAGAACTTTAAGGGCTTGTTAGAATCAATGTACTTCGTTAACACACCACATTTAACTAGCCCAGGGCTGAAAAGTTTTCCTAAAAGATGACATCTCTGCACGTGCTAAGTCTGAGTTCCCAGCGCAATCCAGTGAAAACCAGCCCTATATTTGCAGCATTAAAATATGAATATGTACTATAAGTTCCTCCTTTGTCGTATTGGCTTGTCTAGCCTAGTGCTGCCTGCTTTGATAGCCAATGACTCTCAGGGTCTCAGGCAGAGCCGGGGGGGGGGCAGAGGGGCAGTGGCCCCAGGCACAAAAATCTGAGATGGGTGTAACCAGGCGCCCCCACAACAGGCTCCCTCATCAAGGCTGTGTGGCTGAGCTCCTGACATGGAGAGACAAGCCATGCCTGGGGTGGACCTTCATCAACGGGGCAGTGCCTCCTTCTCGTGGCCGGCAAAGGGACACCCATGCACCCCACCCCTAGGCTGTCTGAGCTCGGAGGCGGCACGAGCCCCTAGTAACCAATGCTATGCCACTGGGCAGAGCTTCCCCTCCCCACCGGCTGCCTGATGTTTTTGTGTGAAGATGCCAAGGGTTGCACCTGAGGCTTTCTGAATGCCAAGTATGTGCTGCTCCCCAGAAAATCTACTGGGCTCCCTAGACAGTGAGTGACACATGATGCTGTGCGTATAAGTTAGGACTGCCCTAGTCTCTTCTGTGAGGGTAGGTTGTGTCTCGTCTACTTCTTGGGCATCTTCTGAATAAGGAAGAAGGATTACTTACACTTGATTACATTCACTTGTAGTGCTCATTTATTTCTCAGGAAAATTAATACAGATTCATAACAAGACCAAGCCACAAAAACCCACTTAGCACTCCAGTCTTATGTCTCCTTAAAAAAACAAAAAGCAGGGGGAGACTATTTAATGCAGCAATAGTGATTTTATTTAGGTGATTTTTCTCTCATTTTTTGCAACTGTAATGACTTGTTTTGGCAGGACAATGGGGAGGGGGGTATGGCATTTGCCAGGAAACTTTAATTGTGACAGATACCTCTTGTTAACATCTCTGCAGATGGCTACATGGAAGTGGCATTGAGAACAATACTGCGTAATTAACACTGTTCAGCATGCTGGCATTTGCATGAAGGCAAATGCAAATTGACAAGACAGTATAACAATGTCATTATTAGGCATTCTCTTCATTGCAGGATGCTTCAGGGCGGGTCACAAGCTGCAATAAGATACAGTAACTATTTATTTTTGTATTACATCTCAGGGGACTGCTTTCCTACTGAGCTGCATTGTAATCTTCTAAATATTTAGTAGATGGTCATCTATTTGTTTTATACAGCTTGAGTTTTGTGGTTCAGACTGAGAGGATGCCTCCTCTTCCAGAACCTTTGACCTTCTGCTGTGATCCTTCGTTGTGTAGATGTGCATATATCATAACACTACAGTTGTCAGTTTTGTTAAGCTAGCTATGCTTCAGTGATGAAATCTGCCTGCAGCTATCACCTATGTTATGGGTTTTCTTTTTTCTTTTCTAATTAGTTTACTTCAATTTACAGCCTAGAAGGGGAAAAGAATCTCAATGATTAAAGATGCTGCGCAGGGGTGTTTTGTGTTTTTCATTTTTCCTTATCAATAACTCCCTGCAAGGTTGTGGTAATATGTCCTCCTGAATGAAAAATTAATAGCCACGGGCTCCTTGTTACTGGAGGAACCTTATGATGTTCTGACAGGGGAGCCTGCATCCAAACTGCTTTGCATTAAAATTGCAATACACTCTTGCTGGGTTTTTTGCTCTTGATCAAGTCTTCTTATGGCATTTCAATCACTAGTCAAGAGTGTCCTCTGAGATTTAAAAACAAACACACACCTAGAAGACCACTTTCGATTACACCATCAATTCTTGCTGTAGTCTTACATGACCTTATCCCACTTCTCCGTGGGGTGAGGTCCTTGCCACCTCCTTTTACAGAGCATGGAAAGAGGCTCAATATTTGCGCCCCCTTCCAGCTGTGACAAATAATGTTATTAATAGGTGTGCACACAAAGTAAGCATAGAAACAAAAGACAGTGCTTCTGATCACTTTGCGGTGAAATCTTAATCTTATTGAAAAATAGGGCAAATGTAACATGAGCATTTCCAAACAAAGACAAAAAAGCAACAACCCCAGATAACTTTGTAAAACGGAACAGGAAGCACATTGGCATGCTCAGCAAAATGACAAATTCTATTTGTCCCTTTTATGACATGAAAACAGCGTAGCAACAGTTGAAACTAAGGGAAAGAAAAAGACAGCCTTTCCAAACATCCCAGTCTGCCCTAGAGCAATCAGCCAGATATTTTGCTGCACTTATGAGATAACTGGCTCTGCTATCCCTATCCCTCATTCACAGTACTTGCCATCATGATGTTCTGCCTATTCTCCAAATGACCATAGAGATGGTCCCTAGTTTGTAGTATCTCTCTGATCATGGTACCTGCTTTCTTTCTGTTTTGCTTTTACAGAAGATGCCTTTAAAAGTATTTTATAAACCAGTTCATTATAGTTTTTCAGGTGTGATACCCTCTGGCCTTTGTCAGTTTACATAGCAGCTGTGGGGGACACAAATCAAATTTGTGGGGAAGCCCTGGTGGGAGAGAGAGTGGAATTAACCTTCTGCACCCTATCGCAAGCCAGACCCCCCACCCCGCCTGTTGTGCTTCTCTCCCTGCTCCTTGGTCCACATAATTGACTTTACCCTGATGGGACAGAGGAAACCTGCAGCAAGACTGCCTCGGGATGTGGGTACACCTTACTCATTACAGAAGTGGGGATGGCATTTTTCATTAAAGGAGGAGATGTTAGGAGGTGCTGGTGCTAGAAAATGAAGTAGTAGTCAGTGAAGAATGGGGTGAACATTCAGTTTGCTGTAATACCCTGTAGTCCAGGTGTGAAGGTAGCATTAGGGTGCTGTGAACTCCCCTTTTATCTCCATTTATACCCGTCTCTAGCCATAGGTTGCGCACACACCATATATTTAGAGTGCTCACACACAGTTCTGGGAACTGTAGTTTATATCTCAGCTGTAATTCCCAGCACCCTTAACAAACTGCAGTTCCCAGGAATTTTGAGAGGGGTGTGTGCTTTATATGTATGTTGTGCACACAGCCTCTGTTTCATGCTTGCAGTCAGGTGGCTAAGCAGAGAGACTGTGTGAGCTCATTGCTCAGTAAGAACAGCTTCCATTTCTCAGATGGTAATACTATTCTTCTCTAGAAAGGAGACCACTCTGACCCCTTCCATGTCGTGCCCCATACATCTCAGCCATTGTGTGCTTGAGGGGGGAGGAGCCACATGGATACAGCAGACTTTAAGTGCCCAGGCAATTTGTGCAATTCAAAGCAATTGTGCCCATAACTCCTATTCTTTTCCACGCCTAGCATTTTATGCAGTCCTGGTTATCACTATTTAGGAGGCAACACAAACTGTTTTCACAGGAAAAAATGCTACATTTATTCCTGGTAAATTTTTTATGACCAGCATATACTCATGTGCATGATAGCCTGGAGCATTTAATGTATGATTCTGACCTGCTGTAGCTTCAGAATATTTGCCATTTTATTGGTATTGCCACCATATAATGTTTTGCACCAGAACGTCTTTAAAATCATTTTATGACGTTAGTATTGTATACACAAACACACCAAGGTTGTGTCGCAGCTGGAGCCTTTGTGAAATTGACTGCCTCGTCCAGCTTGCTAAGTGGGAGAGGGTCATAGTGTCGTGTTTAAGGCTGTGATAGAGAGTGACCTGTCCTCCTCACACTGGATAATGGACTGAGGATTTCTATACCAGCCCATTAAACAGCAAATAGCAGTTAGTAGACTTACAAGCACCAGTACCACAAAATGCTTTTTAACAAATTTGATCTGTATTTTTTCTTAAGTGTATGTATATTTAGTAGAGGCTGCTTCAGATCACCACACCTAGTCCCACCCCTGGGTTTAGGACTCAAAGGCTAAGGCTTGGTTCTCACTCAGGTGCTAAACCTGACCATGTACTATAGAATGTCAGATTATAAATGGCGTCTTGGCATGGACTGACTAGCATCACATGCAAACCAATTCCTTGCACATAAAAAACCAGCATGTCAAGGAGAAGATTAGATGGGAACCCTTCTTCAGAATGTCAGATTTTCTCTGTGAAAAACAGAGAGTTTTTTATCTTTATGTTTTTATGTTTTTAAAAGTTTTTTAATGGCAAAACTTCTATTCTAAAGTGATGTAGTTCATACAGGGCTTTACCACCTAAATGCTATACTAGGCATGATTTTGCTGAGGGAAGGAGGAGGGAGTTGGAGAGGGAAGAGGATGGACAAGGTATTGGGCAAGGAAATGAGATCATTGTTTCCACTGATATGTACAACTTGAAAAAAATGGATTTAAAATAAAAGGTAAAACCTCAGTCTTGACTTTTTTTTTTAAGGCAGCATGAATATTGGAAACAATGGCAGGGAAAACTATCCAAACAAGTCTCTTAGTTTACCATCTTTCCTTATTTTCTAGGATACAGATGTTTGTAATGTGCTGAGTTGTGATGTGTTAGATAAAAATATTTGTGATGTGTTGAAGAAGCTTGAATCAGTAAGTGCCATTGAAATAATTTAGATCAGAACTTTCCAAAAGATGAGCCAGAATATGCTCATGTGACTCATGGGAACAGCGAGTGTGTCACGAGGAAAAGAAAATTAGCCAGCTGGAGACGAAGCTGCCCAATGCATCTCTGTGTGATTCACTGCACTGATTTTGCCTCCTCCAGCCAGCTCCCACTAAGGTAAAGGTAAAGGTACCCCTGCCCGTACGGGCCAGTCGTGTCCGACTCTAGGGTTGTGCTCCCATCTCACTTAAGAGGCCGGGGGCCAGCGCTGTCCGGAGACACTTCCAGGTCACGTGGCCAGCGTGATGAAGCTGCTCTGGCGAGCCAGCACCAGCGCAGCACACGGAAATGCTGTTTACCTTCCCGCTATAAAGCGGTACCTATTTATCTACTTGCACTTAAGGGTGCTTTCGAACTGCTAGGTGGGCAGGAGCTGGGACTGAAAGACAGGAGCTCACCCCGCCACGGGGATTCGAACCGCCGACCATACGATCGGCAAGTCCTAGGCACTGAGGTTTTACCCACAGCGCCACCCGCATCCCGCCAGCTCCCACTAGAAGTGGCTAATTCTTCCTTGCCTTGATATCAACTGTAAGAGATAAAGTATGCAGCCATTCCCAATATAGAGATGCAGCGGACTTACCTGCCTACAGAGGAAACTGTTGCTTCATCATGAATTACTGTTCAGGACTTAGTTAAGGAGCAAACCCAATACTGTTTTAAGAGAGTGGGTGGTACTTACACTTTCACACTGTAGTCCCATACACCTTTACCTGGGACTGTTCAGCTGAACTCAGTGTGACATGGCTCCAAATAAACATGTATAGGGTTTCATTGTAAAAGTAAAGCTTTTCAAGTATAAGAGTGAGGCATGCCTCCAGTTTAAATTCAGGGAGAGAGAGAACTGAGTCTCTGTTATCAGAAGTTTGAGAACTGAGAGATGCTGGATTAGACCTGTCTGCACAAAACTGTGGGAAAGACTGCAGCCATGGGGCAATATGACTAATGCCGCATTTAAAAGTTATCCTACTATAAGAAAGCCAAACTTTTAGGAAATGGAAAACAGCATGCTTTTTAAAAGATTTCCCACCTAGCAAAATTTCCCATTAAATAATTTCTAAAACCTCCAGTTTCTCAATTTATTTTTCTTGTGGGCTGCCTGGTCACTGTTGGAAATATAATGCCGGGCCTAGATGAGCTCACCCTAGTCTGGTCCGGAAAGTCTCTTCTGAGATTGTTTTCATTTCCAAAATGTGGCAGTGATAGTACAAATCAGCCCTTAACTGGTTCCCTGTGGATTTTTCACATAACCATAAAAAGTCTGCTGTGTTTCATTGCACCAAATCTATACAGCATAAAGAACAGGAGTTCAGCAATGGAGCACCTTGAAAGGCAGAGCATTAAGGAGATGGTTTCGTCTCGTCTTCTGGAACGTACAGGAATTTGTGGTGTGCTTGGTTGGCGATGTAGTGCTCTCTGCTGGTTTGTAGGAAGGAAAGGCACATGCCATCCTGTTCCCATCCATTAACACAGGTGTGGGGTTAGGAAGGTGCTGTTGTTGATATGTGCTTAGATGGGAGTGTTTTAAATTACTAAGATGGTGGTGACTGTAAAGGCAGTGCCTGGGTTTTTTCTTAATTGTTTCTTCAATGCTATCATGCTGTTTTCATTGACTAGTAAATACTGTACTCAATACTAGCAGCATTGGGACAGGGCATGATCCTTATCAGCAGACTGTGAACAGACCATGCATGCATACAAACTGCACAAAAGTAGACATGTCCATGAAATCAGGTGCTTATAGCACTGGGAGTCCAAATTAGGCATGTGGGCCAGAGGTTCTCTATTGCTGGTCTGTAGGTTGGCATGGTGTCAGGCAATACTGGAGAATTCTAACTTTCTTCAATATGCTCTAACACCAGGCAGTCAGTTGATGCCCTGCTTTCTGATCACTTCACCAGTTCAGTCCCCAGTGAAGTGAATCAGGTGGGTGAGCTTTCAGTTGCACGAAAGTGATATTTGAGCAAATAGTACATTATGAAACAGTTTACTTTTATTCACATTTCATGATTAATGGGTACATCATTCTGAAGTTTGCAGGATAAATTAAAATTCAGAAATGAAACAAGCAATACAAGCTATAATTTTATTCAGGTGCTGGCCTGTTTATACCATTCATGCTAGTCATGACATGGGTGTTTAATAAATATTGAACAAAAAGAGGGGGAAATGTGAATTTGATGAAGTTTGCAGGCAATTAGAGCAATTTATTTCACTATTAACATGACAGACTCTAAATGGAAATCAGCTATGGATGAAAATGCAGTTTTATTGCCCTGTATTCAGGCGGCTGTGTAATTAAATAATGAAATAGGGTGGCATCCATGACTGCCTTTTCTAGCAAGGCAACCATCCATCACATCATCTTCTGCTGTGTGTGTATAGAAAGAGCTTTCATCACCCCAAACCTGTTTCTGATGAGTATAAGAATGCATCCGTCTGCTATGTCGAAATTCCAGCTACAATATGTTGTTCTCTTCCTAGCTACTCCTTTGAGAATTTTAGGTGGAACAATACTTTTAAACCTGCAGTGCTGGCCCAGACTTTACAGGCTCCTTAGAAAGAATCCTGTAACTGCAGACACATTCCTGCAGAATCCATTTTCAAATTCCACATAGACATGGCCATACTGGAGAGGAAAAGGTCTGGGCCCTGGATGGGTAGAGAGCTATTGTTCCTGGAGTGATGAGGTCAGTAAGTTGAGACAACTTGGGAAGGTGAACTGTGAGCATAGGTGCCAGGTCTAGGGAGCCCTGGGTGTCAGGGCACCTACAATTTTTTTGGGGGGTGCTTAGCACCCACGAGTGGCTCTGACGCGACTTCCGGTTACTGACACGGCCTCCCAGATGACGAATGCAACTTCTGGTAGAAAGAAACTTCCGGTAGAGGTCTTACGAGGCCTCAGACGTGACCTCCGAGACCTCGCAAGGTCAAGTCCAAGGCCTCTAGACCTCTGACACAACTTCTGGTATCCACCAGAAGTTGCGTTCGGAGGCCTGGCAGGGCCTCGGAAGTCACTTCTGAGAGCTCGCAGGGTCGCAGAAGCAACGTCCAAGGCGCTGCCACACCTTTGAATGAAACTTCTGGTGGAAACCAGAAATTGTGTTCAGAAGTCTCTCTTGGAAGAGCTGCCACACTGTCGACCCAACATGACATCGTGACGTCACAGGCGCCATTGGGCACCCATAACCTGGGGGCCAAGTTGGCGCCCCTGACTTCGAGGCAAAGAAGAGAGTTGGGGTGGTGCCCTTGCATAAGAGGATGCTGGGGGACTGCTTGCAGAGCCCCAGTGTAACCTCAACGAATCATTGGCTAGGATTTTTCCTAGCACTAGCTTGCTTATTCCACCATATGCTGCCGTGTTCTGATTAAACTGTTGGCAAGGGTTATTGGTCTGGATTAGGTTTGCCCTGAGAATATGGGGGCATTCTGATTCTTTGAAGATGGTCTTGTCCTGGCCTTCACTGCCAGAAGAAGAACTCAGATTTCCAGCTTGGTTTTTGCCAAATACTTAAATCAGAGTGGCATATGAGCAGAGCACTGTTACAAGGTGAAGCAGTTGTGCAAGAGGCTTAGATGGCTGGGTGCAAGCTAAAACGTTGATCCAACAAGCAACAATCTCCCTGCACCCTCCTTTTGAAGTTTGGGGTGGGAACAGCATTTAGCCTGGCTGAGTCATGGGCCTGGGCAACAAAACAGGCCATTTCAAACATAAGTTTTATCCATGGAAATAAGCTCCATATAGATTCTGTTATTATATAGATGATAATACCTGAACAATACATTCATTGAAAAATCTCCCTGGGTGTTTTTACCGATGCTAACTGCCAGAGCTAATACTGGAAGGAGATAAATTTTGTTTTGCTTTAAATCCCTTAAGATTAAGCACTCTGTACTCTTTTATAATTCACTATATGCTGTCTGTGTCCAGTGTTTGAAACACCTGTTTCTGAGACTGTGTCACAGGAATTTGTGATTGTGTTAAACATGGTATTATTACTTCTTGCATGTATTCTGATTGGAGGAAAAATTAATATGGAAGTGCTCATCGAAAGGCACGATTTTCATGTATATTCATGATCAAGGGGCTAGAGGCGCATTTTATCTTTGCAATGATTATAGCAATGTTTGCTAGCTATCAAAATCAGAGCTATTTCATTTTGACTCTTCATTCATATTCAGATGTGTTGTTTTTTTCACTACTGGTTTTAATTACCTTATTCATAATTCCTAGCTTGAAAAGTGTGGCAACATGAGTGTGGCCTATGGCCATAAAAGGTTTTAAGGGCAAGCAGCGTATATGGTATCAATGCTCAAACTTCTGACTTTGGTCAAGGAAAACACACAGCAGTAGAATGAATACAGAAAATTATCTTTGCCGCATCACACGTGCTGTGTTTGTTTTTACACATGCTTATACATGACATATTGAAACAAAAATAAAAACAAGAAATCCGTCACATTTAAATCGGGCTTATTTAAAATTTTCTGATTCCAAGAAGGTTTTCTCAAAATAGTCTGCCTATGCTGATGAGGGAAAATGTGAAATTAAATGAAATAAGGAGTCATAGGTCTATAAACCCTAAACAGTGTCTGTTTGTTTCCCCTAGGCTAATAATATTGTTTGTTTGTTAAACGATATTTCTACAAATAGCTTGGAACTATGCCACCATAAAATGTGCTCTCTTGAATCAATTGGACTTACTCTGAAATAATAATTTCACATTTACACTTTCAGTTTCTCAGGGTTGTTTTTTAAGCCTGTCTTTCAGTTTCATTCCTTTGTAATGTGAATGGGACTGACAGGTGAAAATTGCAGATCCAGCCACTCTGGGCAGCCCCTATTTTCCAGGGGCAGACCCAGATTTACAGAAGCTGTCCCGGTTTCTGATTCGATCCAAGAATGTCCCACACTTCCTTAGGATGTCCCTATTTTCCTTGGAGAAAAGTTGGAGCATGTGAAGTTATACAACCTTTAGAAGACATCTGAAGGCAATCCTGTATTGGGGAGTTTTATATCTTTTAATGTTTTATTATTTTTTATATATGTTGGAAGCCGGCCAGAGTGGCTGGGGCAACCCAATCAGACCGGCGGGGTATAAATAATGAAATTTTCATCAGAGAAATGTTGGAGGGTATGACATTGTTGCTTGATCTCTAGCCATTTGTACCTGATTCAGCCAAACTCTCCGCAGATGTATCTATCCAGCATGACCTGAGATAATTAAGGGAGGCCTTTCTTCTCTTTGGAAGGTGAGATGTGGCAAGTGGCAAGAGAAAGGACCTTCTTAGCAGTGAGCCCTTGGTTATGGAACACCCTTCCCAGATAGTTTTGCCTGGTACCCACTTTCAAGTCTTTTTTATCTGCATAGGCTTTCAAACTCCATGATGCTAATCTGTAGAATTATACTGTGTTCAAATATGGTCATTTTAATTCTGTGGAACTTGGTAGGCCATACTTGTGTGTTTTGGAGTTGAGACTCTTTTTATTTTTTGTTCATCGTCCAGAGAGTGCCTGTTATTTGAGGAATAAATAAGCAAAATAATATACACTGCCTTGCCATGCAGCTTGTTCTTGTGGCAGAGTGCAAGAGAGAATCACATATTGTGGGAGTGGAGGGCTTTATGTATGCTCTACACACTGTGAGGCAACCCACAGACTTCTAAGTTCCTGCATGGACAGAAATACAGAAATTGAAATTGAAGAAGTATGTTTATGAAAGTGGGCACCCTTGTTCAACTCATGAATAGGTTTAAGTAGGGCTTTGCTTGTAAACATGCTTTGAGCAGGCTGCAAAGAAGACTTGTTCAACTTGATACTCAAGCACATCATTCATTGGCTCGATCACTCCCCCTGTCCTGTAGTTCCCCCACCCCCACCCCAAGGCTGCAGAAACTTATATGTAGAGATAATGGACGCGGGTGGAGCTCTAGCTCCCTGGAAGAGCATCCATCCTCATGGGGGAGGGGAATATGAATATAAGCCCCAGCATCCACAGTGAACCAGTGACGCCACTTTTTGCAAACAGGCTACCTCTCCAAACATATCAAGCTTTGGATGGAAATGTCAACCAGACTGGCAATTTCCTTAAAAAGGACTACTACTACTACTATTTGACATACATTTTGCATCAAGGCAATCAGCGGTACATAACATGAGTAGAGACCTATTGCCTTCATTAAACGGGGCTGTGACCAAAGTAAATGCGATTTCAGAACAATGCCTTCAGTTAAATCAGCTTCAATTTAGATTGAAAAGATATATTTTAATGTTTTAGTGCTAGGATTAGTTAGAATGCATCAGTTAAGATCACCTCCTTTTTATTCATCCTTTTATTGTTAGGCATCTTAAATGCTAAACGCTTTATTTTATTTTGTGCGGACTATGAGTCTTCTTTCCATTTTACAGATCTGGGTGACAGCGTAGAGAATCTGAGTGCTGTCAACCAGTTCTGCCGAACCATGACGAACACCCCGTCCCTTGACCTCTCCCTTCATCCAGTCCATCGCTCTCCATCCCTACATTCCTGCCAAGAATTTCTCCCATTTCCAGAGACTTCCCAGGTTGTTGAAACCCCAGTTTTGATGAATAACGCTGCATTTTGCGGCAGTTGTTGGGGTTGGGATTACACACACGACAGGAAACCCTCACAAATCCTGTCATCTTTCTGTTCCCATGGTAGAGCTGCCTGCTCTAATTCATCTTACAGATCAGTAGCAGAAAACACACAGCAGCTGTTTCTGCATTACATTTTGCCCACTGCATGGAACATATCATTCATTTATAGGAGCTGCCATTGATAGTTATTTATTAAATCCCACAGTTCTGATTGTTTATGCACAGTTGATCATTTTTATTTCATGGGATATGAGAAACACATCCAAGGCCAACAGTGTAGCCAATGTTTAAGTGAGTGCCTTGTCACTATTTTTTACCTCTTTGATGTTCTGAAAATACTTTGCCCCACGTGTGATGGAATGGTCGTGATAGTATAGTCATGTATAGTCAGCCATGAAGACAGACATAGTTATTTTTTCAATCTTGATAAACTAATAAAATAAAAAACAACAGTGACTTAACTTACAGATATAAGGACAATTGAGCCAAGCTGGTTCAGATTTTGTCTCAAAAAGTGATTTCCTCCTTTGCTGCTGCTTCTTGTTTGCTTCATTCTTCCTTCAGTGACTAAAGTCAATCAGCAATCACATATTAATTGTGATATTTAGTAGCCAATTAGGTTTATCTACATATTGATGTCCAGAACTGATCACAAGGGCAATCTTAGCTAATCAGGAATCCAATTGTTGTTGTTTTTCTGCAATGATTCCTTAAAAAGTGGCCCCCAAAGTAGGTCTTTAAATTTTTTTCCTAATGAATATTTTCCTGAAATTGTCACCTGCAGTTTTAGCTGAACCCTACATGGTACATTACCCACCTCTTCATGGTACTCATGCAAAGGGGCACCACGTGTTTAAAGGAAGTGCTAGGTTGCCTCACTGGCCTCACTCAAAGGCATCCCTAACCCTGTCCTGATGCATGAGGCATGGACCTCAGAGCTGGGGAAGTCTATCTGTGTACATCTCAGTATATGTAAGCTTCCCTGTGACCCTGGTTCAAGATTATGGGGACCCATGTGTGACCCAGACATCCTTGTCAAATGTGTGGATGCCAAGCACAGGGCAGAGAAAGCTGTGCCAACAGTACGGCACCACAGCTTTTCTTTAAATGCAGTGCCCCATTCAAATATGTAACATATGAAGATGGCTATTGAGATGATTAAATATTATCCACCCAAAGCCATGAGAATAAGATAAGAGCTTTGTGTTAGCCTGAGGGACAAGACTGTTAATTCAACCAATCGTTATGCATGTGTTATATAATTGCAGTCTGATTATTTATTACTTGAAACATCAATATAATTGTGTTTCTTCAATTGTGCCTGTGGTGAAGCATTTTATATTGGGAGTTAGGGGACGCTTCAGATATTTATGTGGAAGGGCTTTGCGTGAATGGCATAGGATGGCAGTGACAAAACAAATCCACCAGTGGGAGCCATAGGGGAGAGGCTTCTTGAGGAGTTGTTGCAAGGTGGGGGTTTTTCATTTACTCAGTCTCTCTTAGATTTGTTTCCTGGTGAATGGAGAACAAAAATATCGTGAAAGCTTTTTTTTTTTTTAATGCCACTCGGCTCTCCAGCAGTTTTGAAGGTGAAGTAGTTTAAATGGGAAATGTGGGGAGAAACTAGCATTTGAGGAAATGTAATATATATTTGTTTGTTGGCACAATGAATAACAAATAAGATATATTCACAAGAGAGCTGTTCAGCACAAGGGCAGAGTGTAAGATGTAATTTGTTTATTGACAAACTATCCAGCAGTGGTGCAGCGGACCAGCAAACATGACAAAAGTAATGAATCTTTTCCTTTTTAAAGTGATTATATTTGAACAGTTCAAATTAACCTGTGGTTTGAGCCTATTGCTTGGGTGAACTAATTTGCTGATGTAATGACTCCTCTCAACTTGGCCTCAGCTGAGCAACTAAAAGAATCACGTGTTGTGCATGCATAACTCAAGATAGGAACTGGCTGGATCTGGTCTAAGTTGGTGTACATTTAGAAACCACAATGGCATAAGCAACAGCATGTTAGCAGCTAAAGCCAGGCTAGTACCTAGCAGCCTCTTCATCCCTGACCACCGGCCATGCTGGCTGGGGCCGGGGGAGATGGAGTCCTCCAACATCTGGAGAGTCACAGGTTCCTTGCCCTTGGACTAAATCTCCCTGGATCCATCTGTTTGTGAGGTGTGGCATCAGGACAGACCCATGCCCATTGCAGCATTGCTGTGTCATAAGTGAACCACTAGATAATGAATGGGACATCTGCGCCAAGTTAAGCAGCAATCAGCTGGGGGCTCACGTGACTGAGGGTTCTTGACACTAAAAATTCCCTGCGTGCAGAAAACAAGCATGTCAAGGAGGAAGCTTTTGAGTATGTACTGTACACTAAAATGTGAAGCGATAGAGCCCAGACACAGATTTATCCCTTCAGAAAGCATTAGACCACAAGGCACAGGCAATGTGGCATCCTTAACACTGTATTTGTTGGCAATAGCTATCTTCCTGCTATCCAACTGCCTTCTACCTGATTGAATATGGCATCTTAAAAGGTGAGCAGCTCTTATTTGATATATTAAAGGGAGTTGATAGGCCCATTCAGCAGTTTTACTAGTCTATTAGACCCATGTGTGGCAGGGGCGTGGGAAATGCTAAGTAGCCATGACATCCCACAAACAGACTAGCCACCCCCTGGCAGGGCTGATGTCAGCAGAGATGGAATCCTTTAATTACCGGTAGTTTTCTGATGTTCTACAGTTTCATTCCCTAATTCTGAGGCATTTTAATTAATATCGGCCATCCTCAAATGTTGATGGGGATACTTTCACCCTTTTTTTAAAGTGCTGCTCTGGTCAGTGATGCAAGTTGGCAGCATTTTAGAATGTCAGTTGACTTTTTTGAATGGGGATTTTTAAATGAAGAAAGATGAAGTGTATCTTACTTTCTGGGGGAAATCTCTAGTTAATGTTGAAGTTGTATAGGCAAGTCTTGAATATAAATGCAGTCTCAAATGTTCCCTCTTATATACCAAGTGAGTATCAGGGCAAATTAATATTCAGAGACAACTGTAATTAGAAATCCAACCCTAAATGCAAAGAAGCAACTTAATGGAATTTACCGTAGTTTATAGTTTTGGGATCTGTTCTCCTCCCTGCTGGGATTATGGATTCCGATCTCAATGAGTTTTCAGACATACATCCAGTGTGGCAAGTGGGGAACTGTTTGTGTGGTGCTCCCCGCTGCTTTATTTTGTGAGTCCCTATTTGTTTATTTTTCTAGAAGGAAATAGGCCTTATGAACAGATTTCCCATTGAAGTCTAAAGGTAAAGGTAAAGGGACCCCTGACTGTTAGGTCCAGTCGTGACCGACTCTGGGGTTGCGGCGCTCTTCTCGCTTTACTGGCCAAGGGAGCTGGTGTACATCTTCTGGGTCATGTGGCCAGCATGCCTAAGCCGCTTCTGGTGAACCAGTGCAGTGCACGGAAATGCCGTTTACCTTCCCGCCGAAGTGGTACCTATTTATCTACTTGCAGTTTGACGTGCTTTCGAACTGCTAGGTTGGCAGGAGCAGGGACCGAGCAACGGGAGCTCACCCTGTCGCGGGGATTCGAACCGCTGACCTTCTAATCGGCAAGTCCTAGGCTCTGTGGTTTAATCCACAGCGCCACCCGCGTCCCTATCGAAGTCTAATGTTGTGGTTTTAAGGCCAATTTCACATTACTCTTGGATTGTCTTCTTATTCAATGGCCTTGCCAATAGGAAGGACTGATCAAAAGGTTTTCCCTTACCGTTTTGGACAGCTACTACACACACATAAAGAAAAAGAACCTAAAGCTGTATACAGGCAGTAAGTTCAGTAGAACAGCAGGAGCAGCTCTCCTTCGTGTAATTGCAGCTATTTAACTAGTCCCAGGCATCAGAGTTCTAAAAACAACTGTTCACAACTTGTTTCTAATCTAGTCAATTGCACTACAGTATTAGAATTTTTTAAAAATGTTACTGAAATGTTTCAGGGAGGGAACTAGATCATCCAACAAAAAAATGTTTCAATAAAAACAAAATCATTCTGGAAACTGTGAGGCATTGCTTTGTGCATGGCAGTGTGTAGCCAATTTTTATTTTTGTTTTGAAAGTGTACCAGAATAAATAATGAATATGCATGCACCCTTTACCTTTTTTAACTTGCTCAGAGTGAGGTGAGGGAGTATGCTATTTGTCCACAATGGTATTATGGCCTCATTTTTAAATAAACAAATAAACAAATTTTTAAAAAATTCAAGGAGGATACTGCTTACTACCAATGTTGACATTGTATATCTATTTGAAGCAGTGTTAGGAATCAGTTTGGGCATTTCTCAATACATGCTTAAAGTGCTACTGAAACCTCCCAAACCAATTCTGATCAAGTAAAAATAATAAAAAAATAAAAAACTGCCCAGTAACAACTTATAGACCAACTAGGTTTGTTCTGGTATAAGATTTTGTGTGCAGGCACACTTCTTCAGATACATCAGTTCTGATCCGTGAGACATGAACGTGTGTACCGAGTCCAAACATACGGTACTTCTACAATGCCCTCTAGCTATCTCTGAAAAGTTATCAGCTGCACAAAACCTGTATTTCTTACTCTGTTTCTTATAAGGGGCTCTGGAGTTATCTTTTGTATCTGAGCCTATAGTCCAGGACTGTATGAATAAGGCTAAAGAACTTAATTGGCTTTATATTGGTTCAGACCACTGGCCCATATTGCTGAGTATTGTCTACAATAAACCTGTACCATGTCAGACTGGAGGTGGGAATACCTCTACAAAAACATTACCAGCATGTTGGGGAGAAGGGATAAATAGGTACCGCTGCAGCAGCAAGGCAAACGGCATTTCCATACACTCTGGCACTCATCATGCTCCTCTGTTCACCAGTAGTGGTTTAGTCCTGCTCGCCACATGACCCAGAAAGCTGTCTGTGGACAAACACCGGCTCCCTCGGCCTGAAAGCGAGATGAGCACCACAACCACATAGTCCCCTTTGACTGGACTTAATCGTCCAGGAACCCTTTACCTTTTCTTTTCTTTTTTACCTAGGACTCTGGTGGTACTCCGAGAAACAGTACACAGGCAACTTTCTGTAATGTTTTTGAATGTGTTAATTGACGAAAACCTAAAGTACTAGATTTTTTTTCTTTAAAAAATCATAACTAGGAGGAAAAATTAAAAGCTTGTATAATTTAATGTCCATTATATGGTCCAGTTTAATGTTCATTATATGGTCCATTTTAAGTCAATGCAGTTACCAAACGAGATCATTTTCTTCCAATTCTATTTTCTCCTTATGGAATTGTAAAGACTTAATCATGCCAGTTGTATAAACTGTGTTACTGCTGTGATGCTTCAAAGTGCTAACAGATAAAACCTCTGAGGTGATAGTATGGTACCACCAAATGTCACCCTCAAGGGGTTGAAAACAAGCAGGCAGCCAGGACACTTACTATATCAGATTTTTAATTGACAACTCGCAAGGCCTACTTGTGATTTATAGCTTGATTAGGGACACACGTTCATGCTTTGCCAACTAAACTAGCTGCATTTCAGTCCACAGATGGTCCATTAGCCTGGACAGATGGCTGCCTCTGTAGTGCTGCATCCCAAAACCAACTACCTGACACCAGCGGTGACTCAGTTCCCTGGGTGACTCAGGAAAGTTCTTGCTCACAGTTTGCTTCAACAAAACCTTGAGGCATGTGATAAATAAGGAACCATCAGAACTTTTACCCTCTTCAAATGTTGAAATACCTTATCTTGTTTTGTGAAGCCAAACTAAAGGGGTTTTCTTGTGTGAAACGCTTGTGTTGTCCTTGTAAACCATATGAGTTGTTGTTAGTACAAGATGGTATGTCCATCTTTTGGCAGCCATTGTGCCTGACTAGAGGAAACAAGCAGGTGAGAAGAGACTCTCTATCAACACTAGAGATCACAGATCTTCCAGGAAAGTATCAGAATGGTGACCCTTCAGTGTGAGACTTAAAGACTATGGGAAGAGGGGTTGGAGGCCCCACTCCTTGTGACATGAAATATCTGAGCCAGTCAAAGGATAATCAGAGTGGTCAGGCCTAGAGGATGCCTACTTTCAGGGTGGGCATTCAAACAATATTTTTCCAAAGACTTGACAAGAAAGCTCACAGTAATGAAGCTGATTCTGAATGGAGCCAAAACAAGTTCACTCATAAGTTAGTAGTGTGCATGTCAGGAGCCTGGGGGAGAATTAACTGCTGGATACTTCTAGGGAAGACATGGGGAGACGTTACCTTAAAGTGAACAGCCTGACCATGTTGTGGTGCTCCTGGCAGTGTGAAGGGAGAGCTATACTGGCTCCTATGGGGTGCGTCCATATGCTGTTTGATGCAAGCAAGGATTGTGTGCATAGAATTGCAGGTATCAGCATACCTTGATGGCGTGCCTCGGGTTGCAGGGAAATATTCTTAAAACAGGTGTTTTTTTTAAAAACAAAAACTCAACATTTTTTAGACCATACACATCATAAAGGTGGAAATAATACACCTCATTTGCCAATACACATGTGTCACATCTGAAACACAAGTATTCCAAAGGATGAGCCTAATTTAAAAAGATAGCAGTTCTGTATTGCTCATGGAGCTGCAAAGCTATAATTTCATCTCTCTTCTGCCAGATCTTCTCTGATTTAATTTCCAACAAATCAGTAGAAAAGAAACTTTCAAAAGTATGTTTTGTGCTTGGCAACATTAAAATCATAGTCTTATAGAAGTTGGGATGACATATGACCTGGCTTTTATTATTATCACAAGGTAATGCCAAATATAGAGTTATAATATTCTTGTCAAGTTATAATTTTTACTTGGCAACTATTATTTAACCAGGTGCATATTTTGCTAATTATTGGATGTGAGATGTTCCTTTAGCTATGAGTGGGGGGGTGGAATATGTATTTTATCAAAGGAGTTCTAAAATGAACTGACAGGGGCTGAAACAATTGCTTCATGTTTGTCAAGGTATCTTGGGCAACCATAGCTACTGCAATCTATTTCCACTTGAAGAAAGTGAGTCAGGTGGCCTTTTGATAATTTAATGTTTACAGGAGTGGTTCTGTGCCCCATCTTTTGGCAAGCAGTAAATGTTATGCACAAATGTGTTTTGAGGGGGGAGAAAAAATCAGTTCCCTTTTCTCTGCTAAGTTATTCTATGGAAATAGAAGCATTTGTAGATTAAAGGTGCCAGTGAAGCAGTTTTATGTAAAAGTTAAACAACATGGGAGGGGGCAAATGGGAACCCAAGAGATCCTGCATAGGGCCATCATTTCTGAGCCCCCAAAGCCTAACCAGAAATATGCCATGGTGAGAGTGAGCCAGGACCGTCAACAGCAGACACTTCCCAATGTGACCAATGCAGCTTCAGTGTCAAACCCAATAAGGAAGCTAGATTGAAATGGATCTATATAATCAGTCATCCCACATCACTTTTTAGCTCCAGTCCTAGAACAGCTGGCTATAGATCTGAATGCACAAGGAGCATAAGCATTAAGGACACATTGCAGCCGTTTTGTGATTTGGAGATTCTGCTCCCGTCTTCTCAAGAGAGGAGGGCGGGAATGGACACCTTTTCAGACAGAAAACTCCCCATGTGGTCTTGCTCTTGAAAAGGCAATATGGCAGGACACAGCGATATTTTTCTCTGATGAAGTGTGCAACAGACCAAGTCAGAAAATGACTAGAACAGTTGACCTCTTCATATTTTTTAACATTCCCATTCACACTTGTGTAGGGATTTAATGTTGAAAACGGATATGTTTATCTTCACATCACCACAGTTTAGGAAGGACAGAGATGAAAAGTGGCAGTTAATGGCTGAATTTAAGGTCCTGTTTTGGTTTCATAGAAAAGCTGCACCAAATGTCCATGCGTTCAATTTTCAAAATGAAAACAAAACTTTTGTGGAAGCAGGGTTGGCATATTCCCTCTCCCAATTCTTTCTATCCATTGAAATAGTATATTAACATATACGGTATGTAATAGTACAGAATGTATAGGGTGGGAAACTGAGCAAACTTTAATGCTTGTATCCCTACTGAAAATATTCAGCATCAGTTGCCCAGGCTCTCAAATTGCAGTGCCCCAGATATCTTTTATGAATTTGGCCTTATGCTGGCTTTTTTGTAAATAAAGAGGGTTTTCCATTTATATGTCACAATCTAATAGGTACATAGTGCCTGCTTAATGGGATTTACATTCACTCAAACAAAATTAGTCTGGTAAAAGACAATGCAACATGCTGTAATGTAAATAGGACTGACGGCAGAATTAAATGTTTGTGGAAACAGGGCAGCAGATCTATCAAGAGCTAATTAGACTGAGAGTTCAGAGACAGGCTTGGGAGTAAGTAGAATGAACAAAGAAAGAGAAAGAAATAAAGAGAGAGAGAGAGAGAGAAAGAAAGAAAGAAAGAAAGAAAGAAAGAAAGAAAGAAAGAAAAAAGAAAGAAAAGAAGGGGTTCTTTGTGTAGGGATGAAAGGAAGCCATGAAGATGGATATTTAAATTAGAAGGTCTGACAGGCCCATCCCATGAGATGGTCTAATAATCTTATCTGAACCTGTTGATTAAAGTAGGTTGAGCACCAACTTTGATAACCTCTTTTTAAGTGTAAATATCCCCTTTTGTAGCAATTAGCTAGTGAGCGCATCCTTCTTTGATGCACTTTCCATTGCACAGTAACATCCCTATTTACTTTTCTTATTTATTCAGTTTAAAAACCCACCTTTCCAAACACACACATGCAAGTGACGAGAACAAGTGTATGCTGCAAAATTTGGAAGAGCACCATCACCTCTAAGTGATGATAGAAGTCAGGACCAAGCACTCAGTCTGGTATAGCTTGCTGTTCTAAGATGCTGTCCCTGCCCTGCCACATGGCAGACACAATCTGCTCCAGGAAGCAGCATGAGGGGAGAGAGGTACAGGCAAGAATTGATGCCTGAATGGTGCAGCAAGACTTTTAAAAGTCTTTGTTGTGCCTAGTAGAGGAGGGGTACTTAGGCTCTGCTTCAGGGGCTACTTGGATACTAATTAAATTCTCCCTATCCAAATTTCTCTCTGTCCAATAGGTCAGGTCATGAATTACCTGATCTTGTTTCCAGAGTGCCACTAGTTTGTTAGCTATCTGCCACCCTTCATGTTTTGTTTTGTACGCCACATTCACATATACAGATTCTGAAACTCCCCCCCACCCCCCTGTAGGATTGCAACTCAGGCAGCAGCAGCAGCAGCACACGAGCCATAGATTAAATAATAGCACAAACAAGGATCTTGATGTGATCTTCATCTTCTGTTTCTGAATCACCTGGTTCATCTTAAGCTAGAGAGGTCAGGAACACTTCCTCTC